ACCTGCCAGGGAGGCTTCCCCTTTTTACCACAAATAATTTCCCTAAAAAAAAAAAAAAAAAAAAAAAAGTCAAGGAATGTAAATAATACTGAAGTAATAAATGCAGAGTGAGATTGTAGTCTTGGAGAACTTAAACTTATTATATTACATTGGCTTATACACACTAAAAAAGTTTGGGGTCAGTAAGGGGTCTTTTTTTTAATTAAGAAATTAGTACTTTTTATTAAGAACTTAATACTAATTATTCAGCAAGGGTGCATTAAATTGATTAAATTAAATTGCTGTTCTTCTTTGCTGCTTTTTCTATTCATTAAAGAATCCTAATAAAAATGTATTAGTTTCAGCATATCAGCATACTAGAGTGATTTCTGAAGGATCATGTGACACTGAAGACTGGAGTAATGATGCTGAAAATTCAGCTTAGCCATCACAGGAATAAATTACATTTTTAAATATATTCAAATAGAAAATACTTATTTTAACAATTTTACTGTTTGTACTTTCTTTTTTACTAAATAAAAGCAACCTTGTTGAGTTTAAGAGTCTTCTTTTAAAAACATGAAAAACCTTACCTACCCCAAACTTTCAAGAGAGAGAGAGAGAGAGAGAGATGCCGTAGTTGTATACTGAGAATTCCATGTGAAATTCCCATTTCCATGCAGACATGCAACTGATATGCTGTGATCTACTTCTACAATATGAAACAACATGCAAATGCATCAAACACCAGCATATCAGAGTGAAACATGCTTTCTACACAGTGATGAGGTGCTTAGTGACATATTGTATGACAGGTGCAAAGCAGTTCTCCATGACAGCTGTTAAAAGCCCAATGACACACTGACAGCATTTCATGGATGTGTGGTCATGTATTAAATATGATGGAAGGGCTGGATGGACGAATGGAGTGATTGGTGTATACATGATTTCCTGCATTTTTCAGAAAACCCCTATTTCACTTTTTCCACCTTGACTAGTAATCTTGAAAATAAATTCAAAGTTTGCGCTAATCTTTCCATTGGAGACACAGAGTTCCTCTGCTTCCATTACGGACACAGCAAAACACCATTTCCCAACCATATTCCACTACCCATTTAACAATTCAGCAAACTGACAGCTAAATGAGGAAAAGATCTGTGCTGAAGACACTTTTGTACGCAGACACATTCAAATACTCTGTGGTGCGGAAGACCTCCTATATTCAGCCATTTATGTTTGTTGGGAAATACAATTCCCTTCTTACAACATTCTACATGCCCATCTCATCTTTAATGTAGACATGCTACAACATACATGTCTTCAAAGCTGACGGCAGCTGGCACACAGAAAAAACACCAATTACAACATTACATTTGTATAGATGACTGAAATGCTTACTGGAGCATCTGATAGGAGATTATGCACAGATTGAACGCTGAGTGAGAGGAGTGCAGTGTTTTACAGGGATGTGATGATGATTGACAGGAATTCTGGGTAATAGTGCTTAAGGTAGAGATAAGGCTCTGCAACAAACACAAATATTTCTTATCATATCTTACATAAAGCCAAACCATGTCCTCGGTGCTCTGTATGGAGAAAGAACGACCATGAATTTCTTCTAAGAAAACACGATAGACTTTCAGGAAATTGAGATCTAAGACTGTTTCCACTTTCATGCATTGAAAATAGTGCATTTCTGTTGTGTTAATAACATGTAAAGTGTGTGAATGTACCTTGTATCGTAAGTCTCAGAGAAACGGTCAAACTTATACGTGGGTTTAAAGCACAACGGTCCCTCTTCAAATTCCTGCAGAATAGGTTCTTTCTTCTTCATCATGGTCAACTAAAAGCCAGAAATCAATAGAATAGAATAGAATAGAATAGAAATGCACTTTTTTTACTTTTTCGGAATAAAATATATATAATTTATAATCAGCATGCTAAAGAGCCATTGTCTTCAGAAGAGTGTGTATTTGTGCTATCTTTGTTTGTGTGCTTGCCTGACCTGATCTCTGTTCCACAGCAGGTTAAATCGGCCATTGTTGATTGAGGAGCGGAGAAAGTGCATCCCATGGTCAGCGATACGAAAGTTCAGATCACCAAACCAGAAAACTACCCTGATATGCGGAACAACAGCAATGTGAGAACCATGAAGTATGTGAGAAAGCATGAACGTGAGCCAACTTCATCCAACTTAGCACTCACTTGTGGTCAAGCACTTGTGGTGTGTTGTACATATCGAAGTCTTGTCTGTCAAGTATATATTCAAATTCGTCCATTCGTTGCAGGGCGTAGTTCATATGAGCTGCCAGATGACAGTTCAGAAAACACAGCATGTGACCGTAGAATGAGAAACGCACAGACACGCCACCTTTATTTCCCTGTGACAATAAATACAAATGCATTAGTCCAGCAGCAACTTATTACAGTAAACCCCCATGTCATACTCACATATTCATACCTCTACAAGGATAGGTGTTTTATTAGGAGGATTTTTATTGTATTATTTGTACTTATTTTTTTATCTTTTTTAACCATTTTTTAAGAAATTAATACCTTTATTCAGCTAGGATGCATTAAATTTATCAAAATGACATTGAAGTTTATGCTGTTTTGCCATCACAGTAATGTGTGTTTGTGTGTGTGTGTGACTTAAAAAATATTATAAAATTTAAACCTTTGAACAGTAGAATAAATATGTCAGTTTTGCAGGAAAATGCTATCAATGAAATTCGTGTATAACAGTAAGTGTCTGTGAAATGTAAAGATGTAAAGGCTATACCATACCCAGTATCCAAACAGGCCTGTGCGGGTGTATGTACTTTGGATGTCTCTGATGAAAGGCAAGTGGACCTGCTTTACAAACAGTATCAGTAGCAAACCCTGCATCCTCACTGAAGTCACCTGAGGACAGCAAAAAAAAAGGCTTTTCATATGTCAAAGCTTCAGTGCATTTCTCAACACAAATGTCACATGCCGCTTTGACCTCCACATCAAAACCGACAGCATCACAAATTTTTAGGAGTTTTTTTTCAAAGGATTTCAAAGGATTTAAGGAGGTTTCTCTGCAAGAAAGCTATATTTGGCCTTACACAATGAAAGAAAACAAAAGGAAACATGTATTTGAGCTGAGAATGGATAAGAGTCGTAAGACGTAAGAAAATAAGGAGATTGGTCTTGGAAATTCCTGGGATTTTTTGGCAAAGTATAATTAAGTTTTTAAAATCAGAGCTAATTAGTCGTGAAAGGCAGAATGGGACAGGCTCACATCAAATCTGTGGTTACGGTACACAAATGTGCTGGTGTGAAACAATGCCTCTAGTGTTTTCAATGGCCTGCAGTAAACAATGGAGCTTAACAAGCTTAATGAGGAGATGGCTCATCCTGATTTTGTCTCTCTATTCTTTTATAACTGTTACAACTGCATATAAACATATGCAAGGACACTCAACAGTGTTGAGTGCTGAGATGCACAATCAGTTTTTTATTTATTCTATACCTTGATATATCCCATTGGTGCCAGAGTATCCATGAGAAGGTGACTCCATGAGTCCTCAGAAAGGAGATCAGAGATATACCGCACTGGAGTGGCATTCACTTCCTGTAGACTAGGGCACAAACACATCTGCTCATCTTATATCACATTACAATGTAAACTTACCAACTGACAGATAAATTCATTCTGTCTCATACATAGAGTATATATACTGAAAAAAATATTTGGTGTAGGATTTACTTTGAAACAATTTTAACTCAGAAAATGCTAGTAAATTTCACAGAAATATAAATAAATATATATATATATATATATATATATAT